ATGTGCTTGCTGTGTGCAGCCTACCATTTTGCACCTTGCAGTTGCCAAGGTATATTTTGAATTCTTGATAAATGATAGTTGAACAATTAGAGTTTTCATCAACCCGGGGGGGGGGGACAGGGGACTTTGTTTTAGCAAGATGTAGCAGTGCAGAAGAAGGACTCAAGCAGTGATTGTTGTTCTCGGAAATTGGGCGTTTGGTCTGTGAAATGTTTTTCTGGCTGGTCCGGCAACCTAAGTTTGAAGAGTGTCTCTCAAACATACCACAGGCCACACAAAAGAATCAGGATTCACTCAAGGTTTTTTGCAGGGCAGCTACAAAGTCCATGATACACTAACTCACTGCTATCCAATGAAGGCCCAAGCTATGCAAGCCAGCGGTCACATGATAGAGCTGTACTGTGCCATCTGCATCTGCAGGTACAGGAATCACATGATTGGGTCTCCTCTGTGCAGACAGCTCCCTTTTAGGTTCTAACTTCTAGCCTATTCTTTCTGTGTGGGGATTCCCCCCCCCCAAATGAGGGAGCACTTAAATATGTAGTTCTCTACATTTCATCTGAACTATAACCATCTAGGCACAGTTCTATCATGTGATCTACTGTTTACGTAGAGGGTTTTGAAGCCAAAGTCCTTTTGTAGTAGAAGTTGCAATGTACTCATATTACCTTGAATATACAGAGGTATCCAACAGTGCAATCTTATGCAAAGTTACTTCAGCCTAAACCTACTGAAATCAGTAGGCTTTGACTGGAGTAACTCTGCATAGGACTGCACTGTAAATCTATGATGGGCATTTGTGTTGTCTAGTGATTATTATTTAAGGTACTGTGGAGTGAGCATTTCCTTTTCTTTTTGCCTGTATAATATTTTTATACTATTTTATATGCAGGGGTTGTTTTTTTTAAAAAAAAACCCACCCACTTTGCTATTTTTATTTGTAGACTCCTGGTTACAGTTTTCTCAGAGGGCCTGTTTGCTTGCAGAACCATGCCCCATTTTTCTTCTGTGTGCCTCTTTGCTTCCTTCTCCTGTTCCCTGTTTTTAATAGAAAGAGGCCATCGACTTGGCAACGTAAAAGAGAAATATTCACATAGGGTCTCATATGCTTAGCACACTTGCACTGGAACAACAGACCCCATGATCTTTTTAGTACCACAAAGAACCCTTGTTAGATACTGGAGAAAATATGTAAGGTGTGAATATGATGTGCACAGGTTGTCTCTTTGTAAACAATGGTAGTGGCAGGGGTCATTTCGTAGAAAAAGAGGTGCAGGAGCTCATTAGCATAACTAATTAGCATAACTTATTTGCACATGCCACACCCCTGACATCATTGGAAGTGTGTCAGAAGGCAACACCCACTGCTCAGGCTCCACTGGACTGTTTTGGATCGCTAGCTATTGGGGGAGGGGGTCACAGGCAGAGCTTGTACCTGAATAAAACATGGCCTTAAAGGTGCCACTGGACTGTTTTGGGCCCGGGGGGGGGGGCTCTGCAACTTACCTGGCTGCTTCTTGCTCTGACTGAGGGCTGCTGGGAGCAGGGGGTGGGGCTTGTTGCATGTGCCCGCCCCCTGGGCTCTTTACTGCCAGAGCTCCGCTCCTGTGTGCTCCTGCAGGAAATGACCCCTGGGTAGTGGTATCATCTTCAGGGCACCAGGGTTTGCATCTTTTATAATATTACGTGTCTCACTTGTTCTTCTCACTACCTTGCATTACACATAAGTTAAAAAAAGGAATAACAATGCAAAAACAGTGTGATTTGTAGAGTTAGAAGAAAGATTAGTTGTTATCTTTTAAAGTAAAATTCCAGAGGGGTAGCCATGTTAGGATTTTTGCAGCAAAATGGGAGGGGCTAGTAGCACCTTAAAGACAAACATTTATTGTGATATATGCTTTCACGAAACGGAATCTGTGGGCAGATGCACACACAAAAAGACACAAAAATCATAGAGGGGAAAAATGTAAAACAAGTGAAAAGGCAATCAAATGCAAGAGCAAAATTCTACCTCTTGAGTATCGTTGCCTTTGGAACCCACTATTTATAATGCTTTTCTTCTGTTCCTGTGTGTATGGATGTAATTCATTTATCCAGTGTAATGGCCTCTAGAACATGAGAGCTTATGCCTGAATCAATCTGTTAGTCTTTCAGATGCTACAGTCTTTTTAACTATCATTTATTGCAATTGCTCTAAAATTATATCGATAGTACTGAGTCCCAATGAACCTACAGAGAAATTAACCCAATCTAAGTGCTCTGATCTTGTAGAATAATTTTTTCCTAACTTGGCACCATACACAAATTCTAAACACATTATTTAAGTTTTTTCTCATTAGCCAGAATTTATGATGGAGATATCTGTATTGAACTAAGTTGAGAACCATTTCACTCATTAAGTAAGCAGAGGCAAATCTGGGTTTGTGACCAACCGTATGTTCAACAGGCAGCTGATGAGTGTACTGGTGTGATGCACACACTTGCAAACATGTACATCATGTTCACGATCAGGTGTAGACTAACCATCAGAGGTGTATACCTAAAGTGTGATTTTTGAAAAGGCTTAATTAAGCAAATAATGTAGATCTGTAATTTACACAGCCATTTTCTGATGAAATTTTGAGGTTGATTTTGCCCATTCTAATTCATTGCTAAACAAGTCAGATACTTTAAAAAAAAAGTTCTGATTAACACATATTGGGGTTCTTATGACTTGGAATACCAAATTTAATTGACTTGTGGGTATGCAGTGCTGATGGTTCCCAATGTTCTGAGAATTATTTGAAACAATATATATTGTAACATTTTAATTGGGAAGATGAGGTATGTCATCTCTACATGTGTAATACAATTTCCCAGCATTTCAGTTTTTTTGTAAATGAGTTCCTGTATGTTCATCATATCACCAAATAAAAGCGATGAGATCTCCACTTGGTTTGAATCCCAGTTCTGTGCCAAGTATGGTTTGTTCATCAAATAGATTGATGGAGTGGATTAAGTATTCATCACTATTACTGTCCTTAGCAAGACAGTGTGTCCACTCATATGCAAAGCACTTGTCTTCCTGAAGTGTGGGAGGTTCCACTGTTACCATTAGCAGAGTGGGAGCTGCTGCTCCGTGGGTCCTCCCCACTCTGCTCAGTAACTAGAGACATTGGAGGTTGAAGATATGCAGCTAGTCCTTTGGTCCCTCTTGCCCAAGACTTTTGACTCTGTCAGTTAAGATTTTGGGCAGAGATCTTTGCCAGCCCTGTTACTTGAGAGACACTAGGGGAATTTCACATTACCCAGTTTCACCCGGTTTCAAGCCGGTAATCTTCCGTTTTGAAGTGAACCAGTACAGGGCTGCCATTTCACACATAGCTTGCCCCTACCGGAAGCGGTTTGGCATTTCATACTTGCACCGCTTTGTTTTCCCGCTGTTTTCTTCCCGCGCGGGTGATCGATTTTTTTTAAAGTTCGATTTATAGCGCTATAGCGCTATAACGCTATACTGGAACTCCAAACGATCGCAATAGTGATCCCATTTGAGTTTGAAGTTCCGGTATAGCGTTATAATGATATAACACTATAAATTGAATGTTCAAAAAAAAAAAAAAGCCAGCGCGGGTGAAAAACGGCAGGAAAAAAGCGTAACAGAACCGGGAGAGGGAACTGAAGACTACTCGGAAGTGGTTGATAGGTAAAACGCTTCAGTCCCAGTTCCTAAACGGGACAGAAGCTTTTGTGCATGAAATGGCAGTTACATTCCGGTAGGGAACTGATTCTCAAACGGGTTCTGTCTGAAATGACAGACCAGAACCCGTTTGAGAACTGGTTCCCTACCGGGAGATATCGCCTATCTGAAATTCCACACTAGAGTTTGAATCTGTGACAGTATCCAGCATGTACTCTTTCACTGAACAATTGTATTTTCCCTTAAGATGCTAGCCCATGAAGCAACTCCTTTCCTTGCCGCCAGAGCTCTGGCTACTGAGTCTCGGAACCACTTTGTTCTACTATTTTAAAGAAAAAAATTGAGTATATTATATGTTTCAGGATGAGTTGCTATTAAAAAGGCGAGAATGATGGATTCTATAGAAGCCAACAAACCAGAGTGAGCTCATTTATGCTTAAAGAAGCCACTGTTTGTGCCACAGTAGGCAAGAATAGGGTACAGTAGGCAAGAATAGGATTTAAGGCTTCAAAAATGTGAAAATCAACCCTGTCATCCCAGTTGCATCAAACACTGCAGAGAATGAGAGAGAAATTGTGTTGTGAGTTATTCCTTTATAGGATTTATTAGAGAAGCTTTAAGGAATTCAGAAATGCAGATGGTAATGCTGTGGCTTTGACTTAACTGGACTGCATTCACTCATAAATAAAGCACGTTGAACAAAAATAGGAGTCACAGATGTCCACATTACTAGCCTATCCTGATCTGATAGAATAGATCTTATAGGACAACCTGCACCACACTGATCACTAGCCATGTCTCATGGCCATCCAAGTCCTTGAAAGCCTCTTTGGTTTTGTAGTCCCACACAGGCACCAGATCCAGGAGGCTTATCCTCCATGTATTGGGTCACCATGCATGGTTGGTAAGCTCTGATCAACTAATATTCAGCCATATAACTCTGGTGGGTCAGAGGATGACATGCACTGATTTAAGTACTGTGGCACTACTGTGTGATGCTTGTTGGCCCATGCATTGTTAGTCACTTCCAGTCATTCAGTAGAATTTCATGCTGTTATATATCAGGCTTACAAAGCTACAATTCAATTGTATTAGCAGGACAACATTTGAGGTTGACTTGCAGGGCCAACTTAATGCTACAGGCTGTGACACCACTGGCACAGTAGAGTTTGTACCAAATCTTATATGTTTATTTTGTATTGGGATGGCATCAAAGAATCAAATACAACTGAATAAGATATCCTGGAAGGAAACTGGGCATTAGCTGATGAATGCATACGTTTTAATTCTTCCCTTCTGAAATCATTTTTTTTTATTTTTGAAGGTTCAAAGCAACGCACAAATGACGCGGCAGTACCAGATTCCTCAAATCGGCTTACTTTGCCAGGTTAGTAAGTGCCATCCTTTTGGAATGCCCAATTAGATATAACTCCAGAAGCATTTGGTGAAGAAGTTACTGGTGTGATGGGAATCGGCTCCTTTTGGTGTTCTTGAAGGTTATTGCTTTGTACCAGCTTGCTGGCATCATCACAGTTAATAAGGACACTTCTCCACATCCTCTGTTGACCTGTGGTCAAAAAAAATCCATGTACGTTTTCTTTACGTTTTCTCATTAATCTGTACCTAAGCTTTTATATACTCTCCCATGGCTAGTATTTCTGGACAGTGCTGCATGAGATAAGCAGGAAGGCTTTGGAATGAGTCTAAAGTGTAGAAAAGTTATTGGGCTACATTGAGTTGGAAAAGGGGTGCTGGTCTCATCTATTGCTCTGTACTTAGGAAACAGTTTAGGTTTTTTTTTAAAAAAAATCTCCTATATCTTGGGGGGTGGGGGGGGTGCCGACTTCTTTTTGGAATATGTTCCTGAGCCTTTTACATCCTGACATGCTGAAATTAAGCAAAAAATTAGGATCAGTACCTTTTTTTTGAAACCCGCAAGCTCATATATTTGTGTCCTAAATTGTATGTTGTTGGTTTTTTTCCCTCTCATATGAGTGCATCTGTTTGTCACAACTTTTCTTAAACACAGTGTAAGAATCAGGACCCAGATGGCATAATGCTCTTCTGTAGAACAGTAATTTATTACATTCTGTACAAAGTCATTGTACAGGATTAGCCCACCCAGGCCACTCCAGGGATGAGAGGGAATCCTGTACTTTTCAGTACATTAAACAACAAACCACGAGATGGTCTATACCCTCTCTGGTATCCAGATAATTTGCAACCAGAACCTCTTTTCACTAGTCCCTGCTTTCCCTAAGGGAAGAGATTCCAAACCCTTAGTTGGCATCTGGGACAGAACACATTAGCAACTCAATCCAGAGATGCAGACACTTACTCTTACAAAGGTAGCTTATGTGGTGAGCATAAGGCACAAGATCTAGCCTTGGAATTCAAGTTACAACATCAGAGACAAATTAGAAATAAGAAGGATCTTTATCCAGTACAGATCTTAGCACAGACTACCAGAGATTACAAAAATAACAAAGGCTAGGGCTGTTTGCCTTAACTATACATTAATGATTCATAGTTACCAAGTCAGGAGTATCCATCAGTCCAAAATAGTCCAAGTACCAAGGGATTTTGAGGAGAAATTCCATCTTTGCACAACCATGTGCTACAGTTCACAAAGCAGCTCTTTGTCTCCCAAGAGATAGCATTTCAGGTGCAATAAAACAGGCAACAAGAGCCTCAGAGCTAATAGAACAAGAGACTCGAGAACAAGAAGAGACTCACTCCCATAGGGATCAAACAATTATACCCCAATTACTAATCATAATTAGCCGTGGCCATCAGCCAATCGCGAGTAGCAGGGTGTGTGGCCAATTTCTGGTTGCCATAGCTGCGTGTGGGGATAGGCTATAAGTTTGGGGCCCCTCCTGCAAGCAATTGACCTAGTTTCCAGGTACTTCATGGCCTACGTGACTAGTCTCATGTGGGCCAGAGTGCAGAGTCTCATTGTCTGGCATTCTGGCAGAAAGGTGTGAAGGCATGTGGGTTTATGGCATGGCTATTGAGGCCATGTGGCCTCACCATTTGGCTTGCAACAGGAAATAAGACATAGCATGTTATCATAATGTAATCACAGGAGAAGGCATGTGGATATAGAAAGCAGAAAGCAAAATTTCTATCCAGTCATCACTTCCAGGTTTTTCTCTGCTATATATATATATATATATGTCATGTTCTTTTCAGAAGAGCCTTATTTTGTAGGTGTGTACTTGGTTTTTATTTGTTTTATTTTCTATCTTGAATTCTATTATCAGGTAGAAGAAATTTTAACTTACTTTTAATTGAGTTCGTTCTTTTAAACTTATCGGATGATCCAGGGCTCTTTTTGTAGCAGGAATTCCTTTGCATATTAGGTGACACACCCCTAATGTAGCCAATCCTCCAAGAGCTTACAGTAACCCCTGTAAGAAGAGCTCTGTAAGCTCTTGGAGGATTGGCTACATTAGGGGTGTGTCACCTAATATGCAAAGGAGTTCCTGCTACAAAAAGAGCCCAATAATTGGCTAGCTCTAATCCTGGATCAGAATTTAATTGCACACTGAAATGTGCGCAACTTAACTTTAGCTGTCAGTCTGTTCAGTGGCTGTGATGCAGCAAAAAACAAATGGTGGCTAAGTCTCATTGAAATCAGTGGAACACCTTTGCTGGGGATAACCTAAGTGCCATTGCTTTACTTTAATTAGAGTGTCGCTCATGTGTTCAATGCCAGAGAAATTGTTAAAATGTAGTAATGTAATTAGGGGTGGGCACCAATGTTCTCTCTAAATTGTGGAGTCTTGTGAGCAAAAATTCTACTTTGTGAGCTACTGGCATTAAAGTTGTGAGCGAACGATTTGGCTGCTGCATCAATTAGTTTGCTCTGGAGCTATCCTTCCTGAGCTGAGACAAAAAATCTGTGAGCTGGAGGCTAAAAAACTGTGAGCTATTTCACACTAACTCAGCTTAGAGGGAACATTGTTGGGCACCCAAAAATTGAGATTTTTAAAAATTTGGATATATTGGACTCTAATAAAATTTGAGATTACCAGGAAAAAAACCAGTTCCAATACTGGTATGGTATTTGTATTTGGGTTGGGGTTTTTTGGAAATACCAAATGTTTCAACTCCATTATACCTTATGGTACCATTATAATCAATGGGGAATGTATCTGGGGGTATCCGGGGGGGGGGGGCTGTTTTTTTGAGGTAGAGGCACCAAAATTTCAGCGTAGCTTCTGGTGCCTCTCCTCAAAAGACCCCCCCCCATGTTTCAAAAATACTGGACCAGGGGGTCCAATTTTATGCACCCTCAAAGAATGTGTCCCCCATCCTGCATTGTTTCCGATAGTGGGGAGGAAAGCAAAAAAAGGGGGGGACTGATATCAAACTAGAGAGTTTCTGCAGTAGAAATTGAAGGTATGTGGAGGGGGTCCAAGCCCAGCAGAACCAGTCCATGTACAGAGTACCCAACAGAACCAGTGCCATTGTGACAATGCCAGTTCAACAGATCCAAGCGGCGGGGTGTGTGTGTTGTGCAAGCACAGCACAGACAGTGCATGTACAGAGTACCCAGCAGAACCAGTGCATGAACAGAGTGCCCAAAGAAGGTGCCCCATCCTCCATTGTTTTCAATGGAGGGGGAAAAACATTTAAGAGAACGCACTGGATTTTGCTGGGCATTAGTACATTGCACTGGTACTGCCCGACACTCCCCCTGGTCCAAACTTTTTGAAACTTGGGGGATCTTTTGAATAGAGGCACCAGAAGCCACACTGAAAAGTTGGTGCCTCTACCTCAAAAGACAGCCCCCCCCCAGACCTCTGCATACCCATGGAAAGATTCCCCTTTATAGCCTATGGGGATCATAGATTATAATGGTCCCTATAGGCTATAATGGAGCTGAAGGTATTTAAAAGTGTTGCAGTCCCTTTAAATACATTCATAAAGCTGCAGCTTCACCCAGAACATTTAAAGGGAGTGCATTCTCTTTAAACATCATTTAACAGCAGCTATTCTGTTTTCTCAGATAATCCTGAATTTGGGGGGGATTATCTGGGATTGGCCATGCTCAACATCTGAGAATCCCACCCCGATATCTGGCTGAAAAAATAGCCGATAAATACTGATAAGGTATTTTCTGGCTATTTTTTTGGCACGGATAGAGCTGAATGCACACCCCTAAATGTAATGGTTTTTCAAAACTACTTTTATTAAAAGGATTCCTTTCTGTATGGTAGATCTAGTGGCACCATTGAAAACACCTGTAAAGAAAACATATGGCATAAATGCCTGAGCTTTACCATAGCATGCATAAGCAAATCAATTGTAATAACAGCAATAATGCAACACTGTATACATTCCTAAATACAGTGGCCTTCAACCTTTCTAGACTCAAGGCCCAAGGGTCACAGTTCTTGGGTTGCATACCACTTCATCCTCTGATATTCTTATTGCTGGGTCATAGCGGAGGTCTGTTTATTACAACTACAATGGGACCCAATTACATTTGCTAAAGTAACACACGGTTCAGCCGATGTTTTTTTCCAGACAATCCAGTGAGCCTTAATGATTCTTGGAATTTTTTCCCTGACACCTCAAAGCATCACATACTATAATGTCATCTGATACATGTGGACAGTGACTGAAAATAAGAACTCTGGCACCTGATCAAAGTGCCACCTTATGAAGACCTTTCTTTTGCCATTTCCCTGAAGCCGTTCCGAAACTCAGGTATCGTACAGTCAATAGAATACAAGTGTTCTAGCCAAATGCTGACTTCCTCTAGCCGCTGTTGCCTAGTGCATCTTGTAGTGTTAGATGTAGGTATTTTCTGCTTCACTTTAGTGCTGCTGTTGTTTATGCGTTTCCACTGTGATTGACTGCTGCCTTTTTCCATGTGGCATTCTTTCAGAAGACTAAGAGCTTCTTCAGAAGAGCATTGCTGCATCAACATGCCAGCCCAATTGCTTGGAGGCATTTTAAAGAAAAGCATGCGCTTTCTGCACAAAATGTTCAGGTCAGTATTAGACCCACATCTAACCCTGCTGACATGTAGAAAAAGATCTGGGATTAGAGCTCTTACAGTCAGGAGAGCAGAGTCTGAAAAACAGGGCCAGTCAAAGCAAGTTACACCCATTGCCTCCAGAGCCTGTGTAGCTGCCATGCAGGCCCAAGTGAAGCCCCTGAGCGATTGGACCCTGCTGGAAGTGGGGCAGGCACAGGAGATAATGGCAGTCAACTCCCATGACACCGATGGCTGGGAGCCAGCCAAGACCTCATGGTGCATCACTGTCCACCGTCATGCGGCGCTCTTAGCAGTTGTTTGGATGGCTTGGCCAAAGAATCAGCCTGGTCAAATGCCTGATGGCTGTGAATGGGACAGTAGGGAAGGAAGGC